AGCTTGACGCGGCGCACCCACTCCTCCGGGCGCTTCTTGAGCTGGTCCTGGGACACGTACAGCTCGGGGAAGTGCACGTCCTCCTCGGTGATGTGCTCCTTGCCGTCAGGTCCGATCACCTTGCGGATGATTTTCCTGAGGCGCGAGAAGATGGAGCCCTTGCCGCCCTCGGGGTGGTCGTCGACGTCCTCCTGGGTCACCTCTTCCAGGCCGTCGGGCCGCACCACGATGTAAATGGTGCGCTTGATGACGCGCGGCTTGGCCGGGTCCACCAGCGCGGCGGGCATGGGCTCCTCCCGCTTCTCCTCGGTCACCGTCTCCTTGCCGTCGGCGTGAATCACCTTCCTCACGATCTTCACCTTGATGATGTTCTCGCCCACGGGGCTCGTCTGCCTCTCCAGGCTGCCGGCCTTGGGCGACGCCTCGGCCTTGGGCGCCTTGGACTTGACCTCCTCGACGGGGGCCTTGTCCTTGGGCTTCTTCTCCTTCTTGTTCTTGGTGTCCGGGGTCTGCGGCTCGGGCGTCTTCTCCTTGGCCTTCTCCTTCTTGTCCTTGGGCTTCTTGTCCTTCTCGGGCTCGGGAGACGCGGCCACGGCGACGGCCACGCTGATCTTGGGGTCGGGCCTCTCGTCCCAGAACGCCTTCTCGACCTGGATGAACTTCGTTGTTGATTGTGATGGAACCTATTTAAATTGAATACTGGTATTAATAGTCGTTTTTTGGAATACAATTTTTTTAGTGCTTTCAACACTACTGTGTGTTACTAGAATGGGTTTTCCTTTTACGTTCTACGCAAAATCTATACATTATCTACGCAACATCTACTTGATCTTGCTATCGATACGATATATTACTTGTGTTTTTTCTAAACATGCTTTTGCAAAGAAGATTGAAAAATTTATAAAGTGTACCTCTCTGATGAAGTCGCATGTAGATTCTAAAACGTATATTGATTTTCTTACCTGAGTTTCTCCGAAACTTGCATCCAATTGTTGGGCTGGCTCTCGCTCTGCAAATGTCTCCAAGAGTGCAGTTTTGATATCATCGAGTGAAGATGCATCAGAAGCTTGCACATCCTCTACGTATTGATCTTGTACTACTTTCTTTCCCTGTAAAAGAACAACTGTTCGCACAGTTCGACGTATTATTCTGTACTTTCCTGGTGCCATTTCTTCAAGATCGATTTCTACAACTTTTTCAGTTCCGTCTATTGGCACAAGGGCGTATATCAGTTTTGTAACCTTTACTCTAGCGTCCTTTGGCATTACAGTTGTTGGTTCCGATACTTCACCCTCTGTCGTTTGTTCTTTCCCGTCACTTTTCTGGACCGTTCGAATTACTATTATTGTTTGCAGCCACTCTTTTTCGTGGCTCTTTATGTCACTTTCTGAAATGTACACATCTGGGAAGTGGGTGCGCATCTTTCGCACTAGCTGAGTAATTGGACAATTTAAGTCGATGTCTGCTTCTTCCTCGACGTACTCCTGAGTTACATGTTCATGGCCGTCTGGGCTTACTACAATATAGATAGTCTTCCGAATTATAATTGGGTGCTCAGGATCTATCTGCTCTTTTGGGAGACTTTGCTTTTCAATGCTCTCCGTTGTCGTGTGAGTGCCGTCCAAGGCTACGATTTTCCTGATTGTCTTGGTTATTATTATGTTGTCCGCTTCAAATTGTTCATTTTCGTCTTTTCTTGATACCAAAAGGCTTTCAGACTTAGACTCTTTACTTGTTTTAGCAGGCGTGAGCGATTCGACTGTGCTGCTTGTCAATTCATCAACAATTTCATCCATTGTTTTGACTATTTTGCTCTTTTCCTCCTTCTCTTCTTTTGGAACGAGTTTTCGTAAGCCTGCGTCAGTTTTGTATGTTCTAAAAACTCTTCTGACTATTTTGAATTTTCCTTGCTTTACCTCCTCTGTGTCTGTTTCTGTAATAATTTCGTCACCACTGGGATACGTCAGATGGTACACTACTTTGACTATGTCACGACTTTTTGACGTTTTCTTTTTAGACTTAACATCACTTAACCCTTCTTCTTCCATATCTTCTTCAGTTGTTTGCAACAGGCCATCAGATGTTATTACAGTTCTAATGAGTTTGATTGTCTTCACGTGTTCTCCAGGGTGTGTCGTAATTTCTCCTAATGGGTCGTAAAACTCTGCCATAGGACTTGGTGGTGACACGATTTGAACAGACTGGGGTTCAGATTCATCACTAGACACGACTTTTCTCATTATGTCTTTTGTGTCCTTTACCAATTTAGACAGCATACTCGGCTTTTTTGGTGAAACATCTTCAATATCTTCTTGAGAGACCTCCTCTGTACCATCAGCTTTTATGAGTATGTTTATTGTCCTTCTTATAACTCTTGGTTTAAGTGGGTTAATTAATTCACTAGGTAGGGGCTCAATGTATTTTTCAATGGACACCCGCTCTTTCCCATCCGCACCTTGGATTGTTTTTATTACTTTTACTTTGATAATGTTGTCGTACTTTGATGGAAGGGCAGTCTGACTTTCTTTGGACCTCTTTGTGTCAGTCTCTGGTGATGAATGTTCTTGTTTCTTCTTTTTGCGATCTGGTGGAGAAGGTGCAGACGTGGTTTCATTTTTCTGAAGTTTGGGGGCTTTCCTAGCAATATCATTTATGGCAGACATCACATCATCCCAGCTCTCCGGAAGTTCTTTTAATTCTTTTTCTTCAGTCACGGTCTTGCTTCCGTTTTTCACTTGCACAGTGCGGACTACTTTCCGCAGAAGTTTGTAGCGTTTAGGTGTAGTTTCCCCTGGAAGAACCTCAAAGTCAGTCTCTGTGACATGCTCCTGGCCATCGGGGTAGATGATAACATATACCACTTTTGTCACTGTCTTGATGGTCAGTATTTGAGTCGTCTCAGTTGACTCCTCAGTTTCATTTATTTGTATAACAACTGTATGTTCTGCGCCATCATCAGTTAGAGACTTTTTCACCACTGTTATTTGCTCTACCTTCTCATCAGGCCTGTTTTTCATGGCGTCTCTTGAAATGTAGTACTCTGGCAGTGCATTGCCGTCCGCTTCATCTTCTCCCTTTTCATCACTTCGTGTCTGCCTTTCTTCAATAATTGTAGTCGTTGGCTCTCCAGTAATAACTGACTCTAAGATACTTTCCTCTGGTTCCATCAAAAGTTCATCGGTTACATGTTCTTTGCCGTCAATAACAACTGTTTTTTTAACAACCTTTCTAGTTTTCTTTACCTCTCTTGTGACTATGGTAGGTATAACAGTTTTTGTTGTTGTCACTTGCCAACTTGAGACCGCTCCATTGTGATCTCCCAGGGTGTCACTTATTATAGTGGGGAGAGTTTCTGTTTCTTCAACGATTTCTCGCTTTTCTTCTGTTCCACCTGGACCTGTGATGGTAGTTTTAATTTCATGTTTGCTTCTTTCTGGTGCTGTAGGAGTTGCCCTTCCTTTCGAGCTGCTATCGCTGTCATCATGTTTCTTTGTCTTTCTTAAACGCTGAATAGCATCTTCAGGAACTTTCACACCCATCATAACACCTCCAAACGGTTTTCGACTAGTGATGGTCTCTGTCATAAGTTCTTCCTCGACTGGTTGTGGCTGCGCAAGTTCTCTTTGCGGGGACACAGATGTTCGTGGTGCGGGAGTTGGCGTTCGTGATCTGGAATTATCAGACACATTTTTTCTTGGTGGAGCAACTGGTTTAACTGGGGAGAGAAGTGGAAGTATTTTTTCTGGGTAACCTTCATGTTTGACACACTCGTTTTTGATAAAATCTTCACAGTAATCTTTCACGCTAACTTTGTTTTCTTTTTCAGGTGATGGGGACCGGGATGAGGCCTTTACAGCTACGCACGTTTCCTCTAAGACTGCTTGACCACCTGTATCTGGAGTGTAGACTAGGCTCTCTGGTGATACTACGCCATCTGTCAAGTTTTGTGACTGCTCCTTCTTATATGCATTTTTTGCAGCGGTGGGTGACGAACCAGGTGAATCAGGTTTGACTCCTTTTTGTTTTGATTCGGCTGCCTCTGATTTTTGCCTTTTTAGTTTCGGTGTGCCAAATAATGTTTCTTTTATAGACCACCTTTCTTTTGACTTGGCCTCTTTTGTAGGACTTTGTCGCCCCTTTTCTGGAGTAGGTTGTGAATCACTCGATTCACTTGGAACATCAAGTTGTAACCTGTTTTCAGCCCCATCTGGTACCTCGAGCAATTCTTCAACAACCTGCTCTTTCCCATCAACAATCTTTATTTTCCTCACAACTCGCCTTATAGTTCTCACCGTATCGGTGCCGTCCTCCATTACTTCAATCTCCTCGTCGTATTCCTTGCCATCAGGACCTTTTGCTTTTTTATGAAGTTTCTTCGTTCTTCTAATGATTGGTGAGGCACCGGGTGATGGAGGGAGCTCTTCAGTACTAACATAGAACTCCGCAGAGCCATCCTGAATTTCATCATCAGGAGTAACAACATACTCTTGACCATCAGAACCAATAACTTTTTTAAGAGCCTTTTTGGTCCTTTTGGCAAATCGGGCAAAAACTGAAGGGCTTTTGCCTTTGGGGCTACCACCATTTTTTGAATCGGAAACCAATTTTCCATTCGAGCCTAAAGATCCAATTGAAGATAAAGTGTCAGTTGATTGATTACTCGGACCTGCTATCGATCTCTGGCGTTCAGGTGTGGGTTGGCTTTGCGTCAAATCCACAAATGACTGACTTTCTGGTGCAGTTTTAAGGTTACCGCCTCGGCTTATTTCAATACTGACGCGAGGGATAGCGTCTCCACTCTCCTCCACTTCATCTGGCTCGTCAACCACTTCCTCAGTGACGTGCTCCTTGCCATCTATAATGACAATTTTGCGAATGACTTTTCTTCTTTGGCGCACAACGCGCCGTGTCACTTGCTGGACCGTAGCTCGAACGCTAGAAGTTGATGTTAAGAGTTCTTGCTCGTCTAATTTTAGCTCTGAAGGCAAAACAATTTGTGCATCAACAGGTGGAACGAATCTTCCATCTGGACCTAGAGCCTGTAGCCTCATAAGTTCAAGTTCATCAGTGTTTGGAGCTCCATGCAAAGTGACTGTGCTGCTTGGTGGATGGCCGCTGAAGTCCGAAACTGTAACTTCACCGCCGTGAATACCAGACGCTACTCGCCCGGCGTAATCCTGGCTCCTAGTAAGAACAGTTGTCCCGTCGTTTTGATGACGAGCAATTGCGGTTTGCTGACCCTGGAGAACAATTTGACTAAAAGCAGTCTCTTCACTTTCAGGAATCACTTGCCCATCTTTTGTTACAACAGTTTGTAGTTGCTGACACTGTGATGAAACGTACTGCTGTTGAGTGACCAGTGTCCTTCGTAGCTGCCGAACTATTACTCTCTTATTTCCTGCAGCATCAACAATAACTTCAGTTGTAGTTTCCCCTGGATCAACTAAGACAGTTTCAAAAGAATGTGGTTCGGTGTGAAGGATATTAAGTTCAGAATGTAAATTTTCTAAGACACCTTCCGACGGATTTCTGTCTTTGTATTTAACTTCAACCAGTAAATCATCACTCTTTCCAGCACTTCCAAGTGTAGAGCTCTGCATAAATGTACTAGACGTTGAGATATTTGGCATTGTTACAAATTCTATCACATCCTGATTTCCATCTACTTTTTTTAGAACTTGAATGTGACTTCTTTGAGAAGTATCAGTCTGTGCTGCTTTACTTTTAGATTCCCGAAGACTATCTCCAGTCTGCGATGCAGTATTTATACCCCGTCCTAGTATTTCTTCACTGTGAATCGGTGACGCTCCAGAGGATATTGTGCTTGCCGGTGATAGGACAAGTAATGTTGCCTGCAACAAAAAATGAAATAGTAGTTTAGTGAAGACGTTTAACCGACTCGGTATTCGGCTCAAGCCAATAATAATCTATACGAGACAGATGAAAAGGCTGGCCGTGAAGATAAGAGACGGAAGTCTTTTTAGTCTAGGCAGGTACATGCCCCCAACCCCGCTTGCGACTATGGCTACCTTTTACCAGACCAGTAGTTGCATTAGTTAGTCCCAGCTGTCTATTGATTCAATGACAACTAGAACTACAAGCATTACAGCATGCGATTTGATTTAAAAAATCAGTTTTTTGGCATGCAAGGAAAGTGACTCGTAATATTTTCAAAATGTTACTATTTGTTGTATAGTCAGAGGAAGCAGACAGGAGAGGCGTGCCTTTAAAATTTAATACCAAAAATTTGCAAAACGTAGCTGAGTAGCAGGTGAAGGGTTATTCATGATAGTTCTAATGCACTGTTCAAAATAATGATATAATGCTTCAAAATTTCAAAACTTTTCTTTATTAGAAATGAGTGCGATTTACTGAAAATTCAAATATTGTTTTCAAATTTTGCCCTCGATAAGTAAAAAGTACTACCGCAATGCTATCAGTGTGTAGGCATACCAAAGAAAAATGAGCAGATTATGAACTCAATTTGACCCACTTGTTACTTGTTATGCGATTGTATGATTCCTCAGGAACTGGTGTTCACATCGCATAGTTATTCTCGTGAGGTTCTAAAAGATATCGTGTTTCTGGTACGTAGGGAGTTTGTATGTGGTGCACTGACAAATTTAGGTAGACATGTCTGACATGAATACTAGTGGTCCACACGGTAAAGCAATCAGTGCAACACCTACATAGCAGTGCAATCCAAACAAGATAAAGAGGAACTAAGTCTTTATTACAACTTAACAGCATTGACAACGGTCACACATGCTTCACATATACAGAAAATAAATATTTCTAATATATCACATATATTAGTTGTACAGTACAATGCTTCACAATGGAAATATTTTATACTGTTTAGGTCTTACTACAGTTACTAGGCCACTTCAACAGTTTTAAATAAACGTTCTTGGCGGATATACAATGAAATGGCGCTAAGACATGACTTTATATACGGGTTTGCTGTACATTCCGTAGTCACTTTCACATAACAATGGGCTCAAGTGACAGATTGAAATTGTCACGGGTTAATTCAACACAAAATTGCCAGAATTTGTGAAATCGACCATATATGCCCCACATATTTACACTTGCATTCTGGTATGAGCTTGAGAGCTCCTTGACTAGTGCCAAGAGGGAACTTCCTGTACCCCACCACCCACACCAATAAGATCATAAGCCACGGTGGTCGTGGAAAAAGCCAAATTTAGCCGACTAATGCTCGATAAACAAAATACAAACGCAACGCGTTCCCCAGAATTTTAAACTCCTTAGATAACGTCGCTGTTTCGCAAGGCAAATGAAAAGCATCTGTAGCATTATGTAAGATTAAAGCATAAGCTAAAAAAGCAGCAAAAGCAGATACAAGCGTTAGGCCCGAAATTAATTCCCCATACCGAATAGAATGTTAAATCCTACAAGCATGCCTACAAAGCCTTTTATTCATTGCTCCAATGCAATTCTATGCGAGGCAGATACCAGGATGTGACCCAGGTACCTGGAGCGCTGCGACGCGAGCCGGGACAACGTCACTCAGTTCCTGGAAAGCGTCTTGAAGAGTTGTAAGCTGTGACATCAGGTTCGGCGCTAGATGCTCTGCTCCGGGTTGTCTTTGAAGTGCCCCGCACATGGAAGATAGTTGCTGTAGCCGAGACTCGTGCTGGCGCAGCTCAGCTGCCAACCGCTGTAATTACAAATACAAAAATTAACGCCTGATAACATTTATCTACCGTGTCTGAGGGCCACGACACAACAGTATGCGTCTTTGCGATCTTGCTCCACCAATTAGGCACAATGAACCATACACTGAAAAACTAAGTGCACTAATGCTTAACACTTTTAAGTGTGCAAGTGCAAGTTGAATATTTATAGGCCTTCAACTCTGCATAAGCACACTTAAAAAGTGTTCACCTCGGTAGGTGTGCAACTCCTATGCCAAGCACTTCCACACAGTGAGCATTTAATCTGAGGAAGTGTTTAAATTCGGAGTTGTACACTTGCGACTTGCAGTTGCACACTTACAAGTGTTACGAAATTGCACACTTAGTTAAGCAGAGTAGGGTACGCAACCTAGCAACGCTGTTCTGTCGTTGCCCCGACACACGGTATAGGTGAAAACAAAGCTCCTTCCTTTTAGCCTCTAACCTAGTTACCAGCTGTATGTCACTTTACTTTTGGCAACTCAGTTTGGCCCGAGGTGGGCCTAGCTCGGCTAGAAACCAGCGGGGTTTAACGGGGGCAACATGTGATGAGCTACTTAGGTTTTCGGTTAGTGCATAATCGTCTTGACGCAGTGCTCACGAAGGCGTGGGCGGGAGACAGGGTAGGATTCGGCGTTAACCACCGCTGCCTCCCTGCTCCCTGCCCGGACACATACAGGGTCAGCCTTGTAAAGCGTATCAAAGCATTGAATGTACATTTAGTGCGCATTACGCACATTTAATGTACATTTATTACGCATTACGCGCATTTATGCGTTAGCAATGACATTTTCTTTGCATTTTTACGCGCATTGCCGCAACTAATGCGAATTTAAATACATTAGTGCGCGCTACCGGGTGGTATTACATGAGCTTGCTGACATATCTTTCACAAAGCAGAATAGGGGCTAATAAATGTCATAGTTTCACTAACTGTTGTAGAAATTTCCTCTACTTTGAACAAAGTATTGTACTTCTCAGTAACTCGTAACTCGTGCATTTGGAGCGAGACATACGTGAAAATGAATAAAAACTGCCGTACACTATTTAAAGATATGTAGAAAGTTGCACACCACTTGGTGAGTGTTTCAAGTGAGCACACTGGTTTGAACACTTTGCAAACGTCTAGGCAACTGCAAAACACCTGGTGTGCAACCTTGAACACTTGGTAGGGTTTTCATTTACTATTACTGACCAGTGTGTGTAGCACAGTATGCGGAATTGTAGACTTTACGGCTTTACTTGGCACACTACGTAGCGTGTGTTATACTGTATATTACACAAGTGTGCCAGTTAGAGAAGAGCACACTCGGCACACTCTTAGAAGGTGCAAAGATGCACACTTGCTTTACTAAAGGACTCTCACCTTGTGGGCAACGAGCTGCTCCTGAAGCTGCGGAACTGGAATGTCTTGAACATTGGCACTGACAAGCTGACCTGCCGAAGCCAGCCACTTTTCAAGTTCAGAGAGAAGTTTCTGGTATTGAACAAGAGACTGCTCCTTAGATAATCCACCGTGTTCGGCGTTCTGAAACGAAATATAAATGAAAACCTGTTTGCTCTTGGGACTGCTAGGCAAAAAAGTCAATTGTATGGATTTAAATAGGTACCTGTACTGCAGCTCGTCCTTGCAACACATGTGTAACAAGTTCCGCCAAATGTGCGCGAACCTCAGATAACCCGTAGGAGAGGGCCTGAGTCTCTTCGTCTTGAGGTAGGCAGTCCAAGTTGTCTTGAATGCGAGCGGCTACGGCGTCTTTTGCCATGAGGTCGGCCAATATTCGCTGGAACACATAACACGAACATAAAGAAAACTTTAAAATTTAACGAAAGAAGTTAAGGTCATGGAGAAGTAGTTACCTCCAGTTCATCGTGCATTGCAACAAGGCTATGTGCGGGCAGCTTCTCGAGTTCTCTCTCCGACTGGGCAACAGCTGCAGCTAAATGAGCCGTATCGCGTATGACCTTTTCCTGCAACAAAATGTAAAACAAATAGCTGAGAACCCGAATTCATTCTTGTTTTTTTAAGAAAATTATTAGCTTATCATGCTCAGTCTTAGTCTTTCACACTTGCCACACACTATATCTATCTCAAAACCATGTAAGCACGAAATAAGAAACTCACTTCAGCTTCCAGCTGCTGAAATAGTACGGACAGTAAAATCATGCTCAAACCGTGAATTATTGGGA